AGAAAAATAAAGATAAGAAAGAAAAGACCACAATAATACACTGAACTTTCAGAAGCAAAGAACAAAGCTTAGGATATTAAAGGTGGAGGGGAGGGAGGGAAGGGGGTTGGGGAGTGATAGGTTGGCTGGAGGACATGGGGAAAGATTATGATTTGTAATGATGAATATGCTAATAATAATAACAAATAAAATAAAACTATAAAAAGATTTTTTTAAAGCTATCAATACACACAACATAGATAAATCTCAGGCTAACTATGTTGAGTGAAAGAAGAGTATATACTGCATGATTCCATTTATCTAAAATTCTGGAACATGCAAACTATTATATAGTGCCAGAAAGCAGATCAGTGGGTGCCTGTTACACTTGGGGGTGGAGAGAGCAGAGGAAAGGATTACAAATGGGGACAAGAAAACTTTGGGAGGTGATGCATATGTTCAGTGTCTTGATTGTGGTAATAATTTCACATATAAACATATATCAAAACATCAAATTGCATACTTTAAATACTGCACCTCAATTATACCTTAGTAAAGCTGTCTAAAAATAATTTCTCAAAGATGTTAAATAGCCACAGTAACATGTGGCTGATGGCTACCGCACTGAACAGCACAGCTCTAACTTCTGTGCTGACAGAACGTGGTATTTGTGTTCACATTGACATTTGTTACGCTAATGCCATAACAATTTGTATTCTAGTTCTAGGTCCCACCCTCTGCCTCTGTCCCCCACCTTTTCTTATCATCAACGACTAGAGATCCTTTCTTATCATCAATGAGCAGAAATAACAGAAAAACAGATTCGAGTTTACACTTTCCTGATGGACTTGTTTAGCCAGAGAATAGATGAATTGCATGTTCTAGTGACATATTCCGGTAAACGATGGCTCTCTGATTTCACTCAGATGCACTAGTGAACCAACCACTGGATATGCAAGAACCCTTCAGGCAAGATTTTATGACACCACATGCCAGAACCTAAAATATTTAGTTCACCTTAGTTGTGGGACACTGGGTTTAAAAGACAATATTTGTAAGAGGGTAGTTGGGAAAGGTCATAGATGCAAATTCTAGTTGGGGCACTTTTAGGTTTTTGGCCTCAGTTTCTTTATCTATAAAATGGGTATACCAATGTCAACCTAACAGAATTGTTATTAAGATTTAAGAAGATCATGGATGCAGAGCACCATCCTAGGAGCAGAGGTATTTAAAAACTATCCTCTCCCCCTACCCACCAAGCCCTTCATCACAGCACACACTTTCTTCCCTTACTAAGNTATCCTCTCCCCCTACCCACCAAGCCCTTCATCACAGCACACACTTTCTTCCCTTACTAAGGGATAGGCCTGTGTGAGCAGGGCCTTCTCCCATTCTTACCTGCAGCCAAAGTTTGTCATGCTGAGACCACTTCCCACCGGCAATGCACTGAAATGTGGCATTCTGCCCCACGTTAACCTCAACATTTTGGAGCCGCAGAAAATGAGGTGCTTTTCCTAAGAGAGAAAGCAAAGAACACATGAGAGCAGAATTCGACAGGCTGCACCACTTCCCTACCGGTGGGTGGCAGTTCAGGATGGTCACTGGGCAGGGTAGAATTTGTGCAGCAGATATTCACTATAAAGGATGCTTCCCTGTAGCCTGGGCAAGCGGAAAAAAGAAAGGTGATATGAAGCACCTGAGACCTGCACACCTGACCTTGGTGATGATGCTAATGATGAAGAGGAGGAGGAAGACAAAGAGCAGAGGAGGGAGAAAAGGAGAAGAACACCAGTAGCTCCCATTCACTCGTGCTGGCTATGTGATCCGTACCACATGCAGCGTCCACATGCAGTAACTCATTCAACCCAATGCAGTCAGTGTGGTATTATCTCTGTAGTACAGTGGATAAACTGAGGCACCGAGAACTCAAGAAATATGCCCAATGTCCAAAGGCCCCAGAGTCTACACTTTTAACTGAGAGATGGTACCTTCTGAGCATGAGAGGGAGATGGGACATTGATTCTGGGAACTGGGTATAACAGGGGAAAGGACTTTCAAATGGAAATCAGAGTGTCTATGAGCAATCAATCCTAGGACTAAGCATATGTTTTACGTTGGGTAACTTGAGTCCATATCTTTCCTTGTTTGCAGAGACCAGTTCTCACCTGTATGAGTTCTCCAAACATCAGCTCTCCAAATAACAATATCAGCTCTCCATAAGCTAGTAACCAATGACTAGACGAATGAGTTTTTCATCAAGGCACAATGAAGGATTCCCACCACCACCAACCAAATCAGCAATGAACTGGGCACAGACCTCTGCCAGGTAGGGCCAAATGGAGACTTACAAGAGCATCAAGGACATTCAACAAAGACCTTTGACCATTTTTGAAGAAGGAGTCAAATATGCAGAGAGACAAATAATAATGTCATTTACCAAAAGCTCCTCTGATGCCAGGTACTGAGATAAATGCTTTGAATGTTTTATCTAATTTAACTTCATGACATTCCTGTAAAGCGGACACTATTAT